TTAAAAGATAAACTAAAAAATGTGGCATCATCTCCGCAAAAATACAGGTATTAACACAAACTCCAGAATCATGGTCACTCTTAAAACCTGCAGATTTATTTAATGTATATATTAACCCTATACAACAGGCTACAAAAGCTAAAAAAAAAACATGGTATTTTGTAAAAAAAAAGAAAAGTTGCTTTTCTATGAAACCATTGATCTTTTTCATAGCTTTTATTAAAGTGATGAGTACACATGAATGATCTCAGAACAAAAGACTTTGTCAGTATAGGCAACACATGAAAAAAAGACTAATATTAATTTAAAAGAACTTTACGTAAGATTTAAAACACTCTTAGTTAAAAGTTGGATTTTTAAGGTTTCGCAGCCTTTGCTCAAGATGGTGTAAGCACAAACGCATCTTTCATCAGAATGTTAAAATAAAATACTATGGAGATTTAATGGAAATAGTTGTTTGCAATAGGGATAATGCAGAATGCATGTTACATGGATTTCCTTTATGTTCTGGTATTACTGCTTTAAAAGAACTCTTAACAGTAAAGTTTGACAACAATGATAAAGAAATAACAATTAACCAATGACAACATACAGATACCAATCTGGATATTATCTGAATACTGACCAATAAAAAAATCAATATTGAAGACAGTATCAACCTTAGCTGCAATGAAATAGATAAACTCATAACTTATAAAAGTTAAGTTAAAAGTAAAGTCAAGTATTGTCAAGACTGTAAAGAATTATAAAAATACAACAAGTGCATAATATTGGGTGCCTATGCAGAGAACTATCAATTTATTGTTAAGGATGAGGTGCACTGTTACCGCTGGAATAAAATATACATTTTGTTATATTATTATATACTATAAATCAAATAGTCAATTGATATTTAAGTAATTTTGCTTCCTTTCTGAAGAAGTTGAGCATGATGTATACTATGTATATAAAGTACAACAGCTCATTACAAATTACAACTAAGCAAACATTCTACAATTTGAAAAACTTTATTTTAATTAATCTTTGCTATCATATACAGGCCTTGTTTTAAATAAAAAAGTGCTTAATGCATTAGCTTAACGCAATTTTGACGTCATAAAATTATCTTTATTTTTTTTTATAGACGTTAAGTGTTTTAACTACCGCAATAAATAAATAACCGCAAACTAATTCAATTTAACAATTAACTCAAATATAAACTATAAACGTTTTAAATATAAATTTATTATGAAAATTTTGTAATGTTTTCAATTGTTATTTTATTATTAATTTTAGTTCAATATTATTTAGTAAAAAATATATATATATATATTAATTATTTCTGAAATTTGTTTTTGAATAATTGTTTTTAATCGTTACTGAATAAAAAATAATGATTTTTTTTATTTTTAAAAATTTCTAGAGTAAACAAAAAATATTAACATTGATAAACACAAACCTATGTTAATTATTTAAACAACGATTTTGTTTTGACTAGCAAAGAAAAATTTAAGTTTTTAAATATTTTTTAAATTTTTAAAAGCGTTTCAACTTGCGTTTTATAAAAATATAAAAAAGTTTTGTCTGCTTTGAAGCGTATTTTTGATACGTAGTTTAGAACGCCTTCGCTAGGAATTTAATTCATAAACTTTTTATGTTATTGTAAAAATATTTAACTTTTTAAACAAATCACAAAGAAACAGAGCTATAGAGAAAAATCGTTTTCAACGATTAAATCTTTTTTTTTTTTTTTAATTTTAGGAAATTAAAAAAAAAATTAAATTAAATATAAAAGTCTTAATTATGCAAACTCTTTTATTAATTATTCTTAAAACAAAAAAACAAATACTTGTACGCTAAACTTTAATCGTGCAAACTTATAAAAATACTCAACTGAAATAATTTAAGTATATTTAACAATTTGAATCGTATCTGTTTATAATAAACGTTCGTAAAAATTTGTTTATTAAAAATTAAGTTCCTTAACTTATAAACAAACTCAAAAGTATTTTCATTCTACGTATAATTACAAAACTCTTTTTTTTTTTTCGTTTGTAAGCAATTTAACTTAATAAAATAAAAAAAAGAATAAATATGAGGTAATCTTTGTTAAGAATAAATTTAATTTATTTATTGAACTATATTTTTATTTTTAATTATATATCAACTTAATTAAAATATAGTAACATGTTAAAATATTTTAACATGACTTGTATTATTTATAAACCGTTGGGCAGTTGCCCTTACGGCACTATTGTTTTTGGATAATATTTTATTTTGATGAAGATCACATAACTTACATTTGATTTTAATAAGGTAAGTCTTCTCTTTTTCTGTGATCACCGCATCGGCAAAGTCCCAAGATTTAAAAGTTTTTAAAGTAAATCTTTTGTCCTTCAAAATACAATCCATATTCGAACTTTAAATAATTTAGAGATAATAGAAATATACAAGGTTTTTATATACTAGTTTGTTTTGTTTTATAAAGAAAAATACATACTCACTAGTAAAAAATGGAGACTGTCATTAAACTAAAACGTGCCTTAGTATTTATTTAACGGAACCTGTAATGTGCGCGTGCATAATAAAACCTCCGTTATATAAATATATTCAACGTAATATTAGTGTCATCAGTGGATGTTGTAGTCTACTCATGATTTCTTTACCTTATATTATAACTTGATTTATGACAAAAAAAACTTATTGAATCGCACGCAGAAGAATTTTAACAAATTGTCTTCATTCAAATATTGCGAGTAACAGGTAATTTTTTTTTCTGTGCCTCCCCCCTCCCCCCGCATAACTTAAACTATATACTAATAAACTAATAAGAAAAGCTATATACTATTAAACTAACTATAAGCTATATACTATTAAACTAATAAGAAAAGCAAAGACATTTTTTTTAACATCTCGAAAAAATGTCTTGATATTTTTGTTATCATGATAACAAAAATATTAAGACATTTTTTGAGATTTTATTTTTAAAAAATGTCAATTCTTAATTACAAATTTTTTTGCAAATGTTTTTTATTATAAATTCAGTAAAAAATTTATAAAAAATCTATATTACAAAAAACTTTTATATTCTGTATTAATAAATATGGAATATAGATTTTTTAAAAGTTTTTTACTAAAAACTTTACTACTTTTTATTAAAAACATTGCAAAAAATTTGTAGTTAAGGATTGACAAACAATTTTTCATGTATTTGGATAAAAAGTTTAGCGTCAAATTAATTGCTATAAAAAGGAAAGATATATCGCGATGAAAAGTTACAACAATTAATTTTAAAGTAAATTCTTTTTTTTAATAAATACCTTTACATATCGTTATTTAAAAGTTAATGTGGTTTTTTTGAAAATTAATTACTTCTTTTATGTTACCGCTAATTTAAAAGTTAAAAAATGATAAAAAGTAGCTTAACCAAAACAGCTCTACGCGTACGTAAAAAGCGCTTAAGGCGTACGTAAATCGCTCTAGGCGTAACGCTTTAAAACAAGGCCTGCATATATAAGACTTTGATATTGATGCTAAATGTTTTTTTTTTTTTGCTACAAACCAAGGTAAGTCTGCTTGTGATGGCATTGGCCGCACAGTTGAATGAAAAACTGTACAGGCCTCTTTAAAGGACAGTAACTGAACAGATTTTAAATGCAAATAAGATGTTTGAATTTTGTGTAACCGATATAAAATACATTCAATTCATTTTAGTTTATAAAACATAAATAAATGAAGTTCAATCATTATTATAAACAAGGCTTACTATGGGATGAACCTTGCCCGGAACAAGATGCTTTCACCCTTTTATACCAAATAATAAATATATATTTCTTTAAAAGGACGAGTCAACAAACTGATGTTTAGGCATATAACCTTGTGCAGATACCAAATGAGCTGGTTGTGCAGCAGGTTATTTACAATCATAAGGATTAGGTAGATTGCGAGTATGACAATTTTTAATCAATTAGAATCATAAACAAAAAGGATGAAGGAAATAAAATTCAATTTATGTATCCACATGGTCCCGGTCCAAGTTTTTCTTGACTTGCATAAGAAGATATATGTTGGGTCCCATCAAATCATATTTAATATACCATTGATCCTCCATCTACGAGAAATGGTCATGTATATATTTCAGCAATTGTGTTGGCGAAATTATTGAAGAAAATGATCAAGATTTATAGAAAAAATTTCTAATGCTTTATTTTTATGTTTGTATGCTATTTTTTCAAATATATTTAAGATGTAACTGTATGTGACTATGTGTAATTGGGACAATTTGGCTACACAAAAAATTCTCCTGGTCACTTGTCTTTATTTGTTTAACAAAAAAAAAAAAAAAAAGAGAACAGTTTGGTAAAATGCCCATTCGCACCCCACCCTCTGGAACTTGAGCCTTAACCAGGTACATAAAAATTAGAAATAAAATATAAATTGCCTTCAGAAAGACTATAAAAATAACTTTACTTAAAAGACTGTTTTTTGATGAGCATTGTCATTATTACTTACACCATCACACAAATGTTTTAAAATGTTTGGGGCTTATTAAGAAATTTGTAATTATAAAAATATTTATTCATATTTGATTCAGCTTTACTTACAAGGCTGTATTTTGAAGTATTATACTAAATTTTATTTTTATAAAATATGATTAAATAAATTTTAGTAAAAAAATTTTTTTTTTGATATGCACTTTCATTATTACTTACACTCTCATACAAATGTATTTGGGCTTTTTGAGAAATTTGCAATTATAAAAATATTTACTCATAATTGTATTACTTTACAGAAATCAATTTATATTATCATCATAATTTATTAATTAGCATTTTAAATATAATGGTCCTAAACTTTTGACCAGTAAAAGACATGTTAAACTTTTGACAGGTAGAGGACATGTTAAATGTTTGGCCAGTAGTGGACATGATATTATTTGTATAAACTTCATCATTATAAAAATTAAAATATGTTTAATTATATTTAAGACGAAAGTACAAATTTTTTATTCTTTCAATTAGTTCTTTTTCATTTAGCGATTGTTCTATATATGCTGCTTCAGCATTCAAGTACAATGTTGAAGGAGTAGTAAATATACTTTCAGAAACTGTGTTGCGACCAACTCTTAAAGATAGTGAGGTTTGTTGAATTTGTAATATGTAACCTGTTAAATGATTTTTTTAAATTACATTTAATTATTTTAATGATGTATTTTAAAAAATTAAAAGTAATCAAAGAACTTTTCTAATCTTTTTAATTTGTTGAAATCTAATTTATTTAAATTTAATGTTTTAAATTTTGCTTCAATTTTATTTTAGTTTTTACAAACTTTGGTTAAACTTTTTATTTATTAGCTATACACATAGTTAGCATTAAAATACCTGCTCAAAATAAACCCGCCCAGTAAAACCCAATAAAACCCGGGCAATCTGGGTTTTTTAATGATATTTTATAATTTTATGAACTATTATAAGGAACGTTAACATTATAACTATTATGTTACTAACTAAATTATTATTAACTATTATAACCAGCAATAACAGCTATCAGAGCAGATTTACTAATATTTGAATCATTATTTGGAAATACATTACCACAATTTTTATTCAAATATTTTTACAAATTGAAAATATCACTTTTATCTTTTATGTTATTCACCTCTTAAGACTGAGGAGGCTGAGGAGGTGCATACATAAGTCAGTCGAGAAGGCTACCTTATTGTGGTTACAATCTTCTCTCAACCCTTTAAATCCAAAACAGGAACCTTTATGAACAAAGCTGCTGCTCAGAAAAATAAGTTAGTTCATTTGAATTTCAAGTTCAAATTTGAAGTTCAATTAAAACTTTAGTTACTTCCTCACATTTTCCAGTCTTCTTTTTCTTATTTCTCATTGACATTTTTAATTATAAAAAATATTCCTTTTAAATTTAAAATAAATCAATACATAGGGTGTGGTAGGGTAATATGGATAGAATTTTAAATATATATATTTTTTTCAATATAATTTTTTTTTTAGTTAATAGCCACTATAAAAATTTTTGTTATTTTTCTTTACATTCAGAGTGTATACAGGGTAATTCCACATCAAATCACCCAAAATTTAGGAAATTTTGAACCATGGTTCCTCAAATTTTTTAAAAACTTCTTTGGCTGTTGCATCTTTAATAAAAAAGTTAAAACATAAAATTTTAGCTAAAAATGTTAAGCGGTTGACAAGATACTGCAATTTTAACATTGACCTGGTTACCCAAAATGACCCGGTTTTCATAACATTCTAAAAAAACATTTTTTTTAAATAAAATAAGAAATAAAAATGGCAAAAATATGAAAATAAATATATATAATGTTTTTTTGATGCTGAATTTAATAAATGTACTTAAAATGCTGAAATATAAAAGGAACATGCTTAAAAGTTAATAAATTTTTTTTTGCTGTTAATATTTTCAGCTGCTTATAATCTTACTAGGCACAAAATATCTAATTGGAAAAACAACTAAAACATATGTAACTTTAATTTTAAAGATATATCAAATTTTCAATAAATTAGTTTAAAAAACTTGCAAATAGAATTTTGTAAAATATTAAATTTAGTTATATTTAAGGAAGTCTTAATTATATAATAAATTTGTTATTTGATCTTAACAACTGAAAAAAACATCCTGTTTTGTTTTTAAAATCTGACAAGGTGTGATATTGAAGTGCATTTGTTTTTAAAATTTTGACAACTATAGTTTGTAAAAGTTTATAAAAACTAGTTTATAAAAAGTTCAGTTATAATAACATTTATCGGTAAAATTTTATTTAAATTTTAAAAATTTGATATATATAGATTGTGTATATATATATATATATATATATATATATATATATATATATAAGATGTGTTCTATTGGTAAGATGTATATATTATAAGATGTGTTCTTATAATAATTCTATTGGTAAGATGTATATATTATAAGATGTATATAAGATGTATAATTATAAGATGTGTTCTATTGGTTTATTGACATCAGATGAATGCAATGGCCAACAAGATGTTATTGAAACTTTAAGCAATGAAGAAAAAATTACTATATCATTACGCTGTAACATTGAGTTATCAAACTTAACGATATTATGTGAAAGACATACTACAAAATATTTGAAATTGTATCCTATATGGCAGAAAGCATGTTGTGATCCATTCAATAAACATACAAAGAAAATCACAAGTAAATAGATGTAGAATTTAAATATTATATTTATATATATATATATATATATATATATATATATATATATATATATATATTATATATATATATATATATATATATATATATATATATATATATATATATATATATATACTTTTTTAATTTGTATTTTCTAAAACATAAACAATGTTTTGAACAATTATGCAAATAAGCTTTATACAATTCAATTTCTTTTAGAAAATCTCATAGTAGTTACAATAAATGAGTCACAAGTCATGATGAGAAGTAGTTTGAATATTGCTCCTGGGAAGAAACTTTGCAAACCTTGTAAGCAAAAGATTGCCATAAAAAAAGATCTTAAAGAAAAGAAACAAAGCCAGGAACAAGATGAGGATTTTCTAATACCATCATTCAAATCAAAAAGACAGGAGATCAATGAAGAACTCAAAAATTTTAATATCTCCTCTAAAATCTCATTCAAAGTCATCAAAACATATTCTCTCAGAAGGAAAGCGAAAAATTGCGTGCATCAACGAAATGGTAAATAACATTACTAGAAAAACTGAAAGTCAAGTCAATGTTCCATCAAAACTGTGTTATGAAACAACATGAAAGCTAAAAACTTTGATGAAATTATGAGCTTGATAAAAAAAAAAGAAAGCTAAAAAAAAAAGAAAAAGAAAGCTAAAAACTTTGATGAAATTATGAGCTTGATAAAAGAAAAACTATGTTCTGACAAAAGGACAATTGTTCAACTTCTAACACTGGCACCCCCAAGTTGGTCGATATTAGAAGTACAAAATAACTTTGCAGTTACAGAATACCAAGCAAAAATGGCTAGACAAATTTTTAATAAAAAAGAATTGTTAGCTATCTCTCCATTGTATAAAGGTAAAGTCTTACACAAAGAAATAGAAGATTCTGTTAAATTGTTTTATGACTCAAGTGATTTATGTAGAACTATGTCTGGAAAAAAAGATTATGTTAGCATTCAAAAGAATATCCATAAACAAAAAAAACTGCTTTTGTGTAATTTAAAAGAACTATATGTATTATACAAAGAAAACAATCCAGCAATACAAATAAGTTACTCAAAATTTGCTTCACTTAGACCAAAGTGGTGCATTTTGCCAGGTGCAAATGATACACATTCTGTTTGTGTTTGTTGTTATCACCAAAATGCCATATTGCTAGTAGATGCCTTAAATATTGAACTAAAGTATAAGGATTTACTTTCGAAAACCATTTGCTCAGTAGAAAACAAAGAATGCATGCTTGCACAGTGTGATAATTGTCCTGGTAAAGAAACCCTCACCAAATATATGTATGAGATTTTCGGAGAATACAAAGATGATTTTGAGATACACTACAAGCAATGGCAAACTACTGATCGTGCAACACTATTGAGTTTAACAGCAGATGTTTCAACATTTGTTGAACTATTAGTATCTTGCTTTGAAAAGCTACAAGCTCATTCTTTTATTGCTCACTCTCAATCACAGTACCTTAACCAACTAAAACAAAATATGGATCAATCAAATATTATCATTATTGGCAACTTTGCTGAAAATTATACTTTTGTAATCCAATCCATTAGTGATATACTATAAAGATGATAAAGGTGTACAGAAACATATTTCTTATTGTTTTATATCAGACGACATTACACATGATGTAACTTATGTGTACAAAATATTTCAACTAATCATACCAATATTAAAAACAAAATTTTCCAATCTGTCCAAATTACATCTATTTACTGATGGTTGCGCAGGACAGTACAAAAATTGTAAAAGCTTTTACAATCTATGCCAACTAGAGAGCGAATTTTCCCTTTAAGTTGAATGGAATTTTTTTGCCACGTCACACAGAAAGTCACCATGCGATGGGATTGGCGGCACTGTAAAAAGGTTAACATCACAAAAAAGTTTAAAACGACCATACAGAAACCAAATTCTCACATCTGAAGCTATGTATGAATTTTGTATTGAGAAAATCAAGGTTGTTAACTTCATTTACATAAAGGGGATAGACTTACAATTGCAATGTGAGGAGCAAAGAGAAAGGTACACTGGTGTAACAACTCTACCTGGTACTCGTAGCTTTCATTAATTTATACATCTTGGAGATAACAGGGTTGGGGCAAAGAGGTGTAGTACAAACACTAATTATACAATAATTCACAACCTTAAAAAGAAACAAGATATATTTCAACTTGATACTGTCACTTTAGGAGGTTATGTAGCTGTAGTCTATGATGATAAGTGGTGGATCGGCATTGTAACTGAAACTAACCTAGAAGAAGTTGATGTTAAAGTTAAGTTTCTTCACCCAAAAGGTCCATCAATCTGTTTTAACTGGCCTGAAAGAGAGGACTACTGTTTTATTCCTTACACCAACATATTGAAAAAACTATTTGTTCCACAAGCTTGCTCTAGTTCCGGTAGAAACTATATGTTTGAAAATGCTGAAATAGAAGAAGTACAAGTAAAATGGGAACAATATTGTGAACTATTACAAACACAGTCAAAATAACTTGCATCTTGAAAAATCTTGTATATTAAATTACGATTAACTTATTTTTATTTTATTTACAAAAATTTTTTGGGAATTTTTTGAAAAAGTAATACATCTTAGATAATAAAGTTTTATATGTTTCAGTTGTTTTTCCAGTTAGATATTTTGTGCCTAGTAAGATTATAAGCAGCTGAATATATTAACAGCAAAAAAAAAAAAAATTTGACGGGGGTGTTTTGAGATATTGGGCCCCAAAGTTGGTTTATAGAAATTTGTTGTTTTATTAACTTTTAAGCTTGTTCCTTTTATATTTCAGCATTTTAAGTACTGCTATTGAATTCAGCATCAAAAAAATATTATATATGTTTATTTTTATAGTTTTGCCATTTTTATTTCTTATTTTTTAAAGAAAAAGATATTTTTAGAATGTTATGTAAACCGGGTCATTTTGGGAAACCAGGTCAATATTAAAATCGCAGTATCTTGTCAACCGCTCAACATTTTTGGCTAAAATTTTGCATGCAATTTTTTTTTATAATTAGGAATAATGTGTCAAAATATAAAACGAAAAGAAAACACATGGTTCAATGGACTGGGTGATTTGATGTGGAATTACCCTACAATAAAATCACAATGAGTAAAACATATATTTTAAATAACTAACTTACTAATCCTTTTTTTAAAACACTTTTCATATATCCAAATTACCCCACTAGTGGGGTAATACCGATACTTATATTATATTTGATACGATACTTATATTATATTTTTAAATATGTGAAAAGCAATATGTTTAATTCCACATCAAATCACCCAGTAATTCCACTTGGGTAATTCCACATCAAATCACCCAGTCCATTGAACCATGTGTTTCTCTTTGTTTTATATTTTGACACATTATTCCTAATTGTAAAAAAAATATTGAATGCAAAATTTCAGCTAAAAATGTTTAGCGGTTGACAAGATACTGCAATTTGAACATTGACCTGGTTTCCCAAATTGACCCGGTTTTCATAACATTCTAAAAAAACATTTTTTTAAAAAAAAAATAGGAAATAAAAATGGCAAAAATATGCATGTATGTTTTTTTGATGCTGATTTCAATAAATGTACTTAAAATGCTGAAATATAAAAGGAACATGCTTAAAAGTTAATAAAACAACTAGTTTCTATAAACCAACTTTCGGGCCCAATATCTCAAAACACCCTCGTCAAAATTTTTTTTTTTTTGCTGTTAATATTTTCAGCTGCTTATAATCTTACTTGGCACAAAATATTTAACTGGGAAAACAACTGAAACGTATGGAACTTTAATTTAAAAAATGTATTACTTTTTCAAGAAATTCCTCAAAAATATTTGTAAATAAAATAAAAATAAGTGAATCGTAATTTAAAAAAGTACTTAAATATACAAAGTTTTTAAAGGTATCAAAGATGCAAGTTATTTTGACTGTATTTGTAATAGTTCACAATATTGTTCCCATTTTACTTGCACTTCTTCTATTTCAGCATTTTCAAACACACGTTTCTACCAGAACTAGTGCAAGCTTGTAGAACAGATAGTTTTTTCAATATGTTGGTGTTGGGGATAAAACAGTAGTCATCTCTTTCCGGCTAGTTAAAACAGAGTGATGGATCTTTTGTGTGAAGAAACTTAACTTTAGCATCAACTTCTTCTAGGTTAGTTTCAGTTACAATGCCGATCCACCATTTATCATCATAGACAACAACTACATAACTTCCTAAAGTGACAGTATCTAGTTGAAATAAATCTTGCAATTGTAAGTCCATTCTCTTAATGAAAATGAAGTTAACAACCTTGATTTTCTCAATACAAAATTCATACATAGCTTCTGATGTGAGAATTTGGTTTTTGTATGGTTGTTTTAAACTTTCTTGTGCTGTTAACCTTTTTACAGTACCGCCAATCCCATTGCATGGTGACTTTCCGTGGGGCGTGGCAAAAAAGTTCCATTCAACTCTAAAGGCTAATTCCCTCTTTTGTTGGAATTTTGTTGGAATAGATTGTATAAGTTTTTACAATTTTTGTACTGTCCTGCACAACCATCAGTGAATAAATGTAATTTGGACAGATTAAAAAATTTTGTTTTTAAGATTGGTATGATTAGTTGAAATATTTTTTCCCTTAAGTTACATCATGTGTAATATTGTCTGATATGAAACAGTAAGAAATATGTTTCAGTACACCTTAATCATCTTTATAATATATCACTAATGGATGTAAAGAACATTGTTGGATGTTCCAATGATAGCTTTGTATTTCATCTTGGACTACAAAAGTGTAATTTTCAGCAAAGTTGCCAATAATGATAATGTTTGATTGATCCATATTTTGTTTTGGTTAAGGTACTGTGATTGAGAGTGAGCAATAAAAGAATGAGCTTGTAGCTTTTCAAAGCAAGATACTAATATTTCAACAAATGTTGGAACATCTGCTGTTAAACTCACTAGTCCTTTTGTCAGATCATAGATTTTTTCCTTTTATCAAGCTCATAACTTCATCAAAGTTTTCACCAATTTTTTTCATATTATTTGTTTCATAACACAGTTTTGAGGAAAGATTGACTTGACTTTCATTTTTTCTAGTAACGTTAATAATCATTTTGTTGATGCGCGCAACTTTTCGCTTTCCTTCTGAGAGTATATGTTTTGATGACTTTGAATGAGATTTTAGAGATATAATAAAATTTTTGAGTTCTTCATTAATCTCCTGTCTTTTTGATTTGAATGATAATATTAGAAAATCCTCATCTTGTTCACCCTGACTTTGCTTCTTTTCTTTAGGATCTTCTTTTTTGGCAATCTTTTGCTTACAAGGTTTTCAAAGTTTCTTCCCCGGAGCAATATTCAAACTACTTCTTATCATGACTTGTGACTCATTTATCGTAACTACTCTAAGATTTTCTAAAAGTAATTGAATTGTATAAAGCTTATCTGCACAATTTTTAAAACATTGTTTATGTTTTGGAAAATATAAAGCAAAATAGTATATATATTAAAATATTTAAATTCTACATCTACTAAGTTTCAATAACATCTTGTTGACCTTTGCATTTATCTTATGTCATTACGCTAATAGAACACATCTTATAATAAATAACTTGAATGAATGTATTTCCTAAAAAAAAGAGAATTCTTTTTTTCTACTTAATTTTGAGTTAAAAAAAAAAAGTTAATATAGAAATAATTCAAACCTTTTCAGAATCCTTCTGTTGTATAATTTATATATATATATATATATATATATATATATATATATATATATATATATATATATATATATATATATATATATATAAATTATACATATATATATATTTATATATATATATATATATATATATATATATATATATGTGTATAATTTTTAATTATAATTATTTATATATATATATTTATATAAATATATATATATATATATATATATATATATATATATATATCAGGCTTCGTCAGGAAGCCGGTGCAATCACACTCAATAAATGAGCACAGAAATAATATTTAGTTGCGAAAAAGCGGCCAAATATTTTAGTCGTTTTGAGAACATTTAAATTTATGTATGTTTTCTTAATTAAGTTCATTATTTTAACGTATATTTTGAATTATTTTCTTTATGGACATACATGGAAACAAACATAAACGTGAATGTTCTCAAACAATCTTTGTGCGGAAAAGTAAAAAAAAAAGCACAAAAAACCCGCCAAATCTACGAACAACTAATTCTATTGGTTCAAAAAATACTAACCGAAATTTCTAATAATAAATAATTAATAATCATCAAATAATTTTAACCACTAACCCATTTTCCTACCCGATAACTGATTCTTTCCCCCAAGAAACAAAAGTTTTTATGTTCTTAGAAATTGGTTTACTAACTTCAATTATTTTGCTTCAGCCATTCTTACAAACTTGTTATACTTAAACTTAAAGTTACTTTTTTCTGTTTTAAATACTAATTAAAATTATGAAGCCCACTCATTAAACATCATCAGTGGTATTGTGAAGCAGTTCCGCTTCCTCCTTACATTGTCATTTAATGTTTTTGGTTAGTTTCTATTTAGCTAATTGAATTTCTACATTAACTCAATTATTTAATTATTTTATTGGTTCATCTTACTAAGAAAAATTGTTTTAAATGTGTTAAACTTTTCAAACTACGCGAAGAATAAAATAGTTATTGAAAAAACTTTTTTATTAATAAATAAAGCACTTAGCGTTAGTTTTATTGGTTGAATTTTGTTGGACTTTTCAGGGTCGGGGACTGCATTATTTTGGCGGCCTTTTTTATGTGCCACAGCATAAAAATGACTGAAAAAAATACCTATAAATAAATAATGGTCCTCTTGACTAATTCGTGTCCTATAACATTGTGAGTCTTGAGGCTATAGTCCTTCTACTCCCCCCCCCCCATCTCCTCAATCCAGCACTGGAAATAAGACATAAGTATATAAATAAAAATTATATATATACTCTTTGATAAATCGGAGAACATTTGTTACCTTATTAAACAATCATTAATAGTAAGTTGTTACTTTATATAAAAAATGTGACTTAGTTTTATAAAAAAAATTATAAAAAAGCTATTTGCTCTAATCGTAGTTATTTAATTATTAGTTATTAACTGTCTCTCATTGGTCCAGTTAATCTTTTTGCGCTTTTTTTTTTTTTTTTAATGTTCTCAAAACGACTCAAAAATCTGGCCGGTTTTTTGCAACTAAATATTATTTCCGTGGTCAATTATCGAGTGCGATCGCACTCGCTTCCCGACCAAGCCTATATATATATATATATATATATATATATATATATATATATATATATATATATATATATATATATATATATATATATATATCAAATTTTTAAAATTTAAATAAAATTTTACCAATAAATGTTGTTCTATAACTGAACTTTTACAAAATATAGTTGTCAAAATTTTAGAAACAAATGCACTTCAATATCACACCTAGTCAGTTTTTAAAAACATAACAGGATGTTTTTTTCAGTTGTTAAGATCAATTAACTAAGTTTTATTATTAAGACTTCCTTAAATGTAACAAAATTATTTTGTTACATTTAAGGAATTTCCATATATTTCAGTTGTTTTATAAGCAGCTGAAAATATTAACAGCAAAAAAAAAATTTGACAAAGGTGTTTGGGCCCCAAAGTTGGTTTATAGAAACTAGTTGTTTTATTAACTTTTAAGCATGTTCCTTTTATATTTCAGTATTATAAGTACATTTATTGAATTCAGCATCAAAAAAGAATACATGCTTATTTTCATATTTTTGTCATTTTTATTTCTTATTTTTTTAAGAAAATCGTTTTTTAGAATGTTATGAAAACCCGAAAACCCCCA